ATTAATGTAGCCTTTGTTTCTGCTAAAAGAGGTGTCGACCAGCTGGGGAAACAAGAAAATCGGCGAAATCGAGTGTGACTATTACAAAATAAATAATTATTATATTAATATTGACAATAAAAACCGACCGTCAGGGAGCGTTCTCATGGCGTCTATTATCAACGCTATGAAGGTCTATGGAACGACCTGCCCGTTGAAAACTGACTCTCAAGGGGTACCCTGTCCGTAATAGAGTGACGGGGAGGGGCCCTGACCATCCGTCAACATGTTGACGGGTTGGGAGTGAGAACGTGTTGGTTACGCTTCTATGGACAGTCTTGTGCTAATGTACATTTATTTTGGTAATTGTAGTTTTAGTAAATTGCATAACAATACATTTAGCGGAGGTTAAATGTGCAATTGTGGGCGGTGGTGGCGAAGTCGATAGGGACTTGGCATGGCAACTGGAAGGTCACCAGTTCAAGTCCTGGCAAGAGCAAGTGCTTCCGAGGTGTCCCTGAGCAAGGCACCGTTCCCACACTGCTCCCCGGGCGCCGTTCAAAATGGCAGCACACTGCTCCTAACACTAGGATGGGTCAAATGCAGAGAAACAATTTCCCCACGGGGATTACAAAAGTATATCAAAATCAAATCAAATCAAACCATGGAGATACAATCTCAGGAGAGCATGACTCCTGCAAATAAAGGATCTACACACAAGCAAAGTGCAAAATGATTTATTTTATTATATTGCATTGTATTGACAAAGGTGCAGGTAAACGTTTGTTGCTGAAGAGTATACGGACTTTACCCATAATAAAAGCTTATCCTAGATTATCTATAATAGTCTCACTTTTGGTTTTAGTCTTTACATCGATAATTGACCTGCTACACAGATTTACTGTCATTCAAACAAACTCCCTGCAGATGTTCCAGTTACTCCTTAAACAAATCTTTACATTTTAATTTGTATGGTTGCAAGCCTCCAGTTTTCCAGGTGGTGGTGTATGTATCTGTAGAAAAAGAAGAGGATAATAAAACGAATGATTGTTATGGAGAGACCCGGATTTATATAGTTTTTTTCTAGAAGTAAACAAAGACAAGCAAATGGTGTTGAACTCCTTTGGGATCAACATAATGACCGTCACTGCCTGATTGGAGAGTGTGTTTTTGACTGATACAGAGCCTCATGAATGTAACTGGCTGCAGAGAGTTTTTATGAGCCTCAAGGTGTTGGATTGTGTAAAGGTCAAGGACATGTACCCAATAGAGGTTATTCAAACTGAATACATAAAATAAATGTTCCACTGAAACAGATTTTATTGCAGTGTATTATTTCATAACCTGGCAACCGAGTCCAAAGGTCAGAAGCTCATAAAGCAAGACGCTCAGAGTGTAACTCAGATAACAATACTTTTATTCAATTGTAACTTAACCATAACTTATTATTCAGATTTAGCAAGAAATGTTGCTTGCTGTTGGAGAGACATTAGCACACTGACTACTACTCAGAAGTTCAGCGGAGGAAATTAATTAGCCGTTATTTTATGAGCCTGATCTATCAATGATTTACAGGCTTTGTCCATGCAGTCAGAAGAGGCAGACAGAGAGAACAGGTATGTGGTCTTCGTCGAACAAAAGAGAATATTTCTTAGAACGGGTCTGCATTTGAAATTAGGGTCTCTCTAGAGCACAAGAAAAAATATATAGTATTGTTCAAGGTTTTATGTCGGAGGGAAAACTGCGGAACTAACACTGAAAAGGTAACTGTGTACAGAGAGTCTTTCCTTTATTAACGTCTCTGAGATATTAGACTTTGTAACACGACATTAAGTGTAACTAAAATATCTTACAAATAGGGAAGCTTCTAAACACATTTAAATTCACTATGGGGTGTTTTTCTTAAGCTACAAAATGGAAAGTATAACGGTCTTTTTAGTGAACAATGAACAGACATATACAACTGTGGAAAATTGAAAGTACACTCTTAGTATATATTTATAAGAGAAGTTTATGAAGAAATACAATTTCTATACAAGAAGTGAAGCTGCTCTCACAGGTCTGTTTGAGGATACAATATCAGGACAAGTAAGTTGAACACAGAAGACAGCAGCAAAGTGTTATTTTTAATTTATTGGAGCTTTCAGCAAAAGTCATATCCAAACACGATATTCATTTTATTACTCAGATCTTTTGGATTGAGTCCTTACTGTTGAGCCTGTTTACAACGTTTTTTTTAATAAATAGCCATTTTAAAGCATTTTCTCCTGTTCAGTTCCAGCGCTCCATGATGGATTTACCCACAGACGGAAAGCCCCTTAAATCTCATCTCAGAAGAATCAGTGTTTTGGTTTTACTTCTTCTCCTAACACACCACTGCAGAGGTAACTAACACACACATGCAATCTTAGAAAGTCACTATTAATTATTAGGGGAGAAAGTTCATATTCATCATTATTAGGCAAGAATTGCTTGATAACTTTTCAGCATATTGTCATACAAGTGTTACCCCACAATATGTTGTTTTCAGGAAAAAGGTTAAATAACTGTAAGAATTAGAGAATACATCAATATCACGATTGTTTTCTTTGCAAAGTTGTATCTATGTGAAGCTTTTTGGGATGACATTTGTGGCTCGATACTACTTTGCAACTTAGCCTGCTTCTAACCACTAAGCTGTAGTGACCTTTATTTAGTTGTGAAGCTTACGTTAGGTCACAAGGCCAGATGCAGTATAACCTGAAAAGTTATTTTGGACTTTTTGCCCAATGACGCCAAAAAGATGTTGCCTATAAAGCAATTATGTGGGTCAAACACTAGGGCTACCAATATGCCCGTCTGTTTCTTCTATCAAAACCGTTAATAGATCCCTTTGCTGACGTTTTATTGGAGAAGATAAAACATCCTTTGAATTTCCAGGTCAGTCTCAGCTGATTGGCTCACCTCAGCCAATCGTAGCAAACATTGGTGATGACATCATTTTGCCGTGTTATCTGGAGCCGGCGGTAAATGTTGCCGGTTTGACGTTGGAGTGGACGAGGCCCGACATGGACCCCAGGTTCGTCCATGTGATGCGTTCTGGTCACGAAATGGTGGATAAAAAACACACATTTTTCAAGGGAAGAACTTCAATGTTCACCGATGAGCTGAAGAACGGAAACATTTCTCTGAAACTCTCCAACGTACAATTCTCTGATCACGGGAAATACAGATGTTTCATTCCAGAAGTGGGCAGCCAAACTTTTGTTAAATTGGTTTTTGGTAAGTGAGCAACCTATGTGTTCATGGTGCATGTTTTACCCAACACAGTCTCACTCCCTGAACGTCCAGGAGCGACGCTTGGTCAGGGTCCTATGGCGTGCAGTTGTGACGTGCCGAGTCTCCAGTCCTTCAGCTTCACAAAGAGACGCAAAGAGCTTTCAACTGATTGCAATGTATTCCCATCTGCGGCGGTATTTGACGCNCTGTAATGATGGCCTCTGCGAATCTATAATGGTTCGGACCCCTCACTTAGACAATCTACTCTTATTTAATTTTTGGTTTGATGAAATGAGATGTGAACTTGAAGCAATACAAGAAGGAAGAAGAATCATATAGGTATGATAACTAAATGTAAGTACAGATCTGCATAATCTGTGATCTTCTTATTTAAACATATCGACACATAAAAGTCGTTGAGGTACTTGTTACATTTCCTGAGTATTTCCATGTTAATTGCACTCAACTGCTCTCTAAAAGGGAAATAACATGTAAACACTTTGCTCTTTCCTCTACATTACATTTAACAGCTGTTTCAAGCTATTCTTTAAAAACTTCATCTAAAATTAAATTACTCTTGGTTAGTGCTCCACAACTGAGGAGAAGACGTTTACATGTGGTAAGTTCCCTGTACGTCTGTGAGGCATGAGTAAGTGATTTCCCCTTTTAGAGGTGATAAACATGCCCCTCACCTTGTCAGTGAACAAGGAGAAGTTCTTTGCATCTGTGATCATAGACATAAACGACAGACTCCTCTGGTGGTTTGGTCGCATGGGCACGAAAGAGAGAGCATCATGGGGGTTACATCACTTTTCCACTTGTGTTCCAGTATATTAAGTATACAGTTAATATAAGCTTTATCTTTTGTCAATGTGCAATGTCTTTTTTGTGAGGTTTGACAACATGAGTTCACTGACAGGAGGAACTATCACATCAGTGCCACATTGGTACGGAGAAGTGCTCAGCATGTCGTAGTTAAAGTAAATAAGCCCCAGAGATGTAGGAATACTCTGTTAGTAAAATGGATATGTTTTGACATCAAGTAAAAGTATCTCATAAAATATACGTGAACAGTAGCGACAGTAAAAAAGTAGTCATTGGTGCAGATGGTCCATTATTCAGAATAAGATATGATATTGTTTTTATAATGATTGATCATGAAGGGTATCTCAAAAGCTGGTAAAGGTGCAGCTAGTTGAATGACTTGTATACTGCAGGGTAGCTTGTGGATTTACTACCAGGTGGAACTAAAGTCTTGAATTAACAACATTGATTATATTTCACATCATTCTCCACATCATGAGAAGTAATATAAAGTGCTTAAATACATGTAGAGGAGTAGAAGACACCATGGTACCTTCTGAACTGTAGAGGAGTAGAAGTACATCCAAATGTAACCTCTGAACTGTACGAGGAGTAGAAGTACACATGTACCGAAAATTCATGACCTGTAGAGGAGGAGAAGTACACCATGACCTCTGACCTGTAGAGGAGTAGAAGTAGCACATGTAGCTCTGAACGTAGAGGAGTAAAGTACACCATGTACTCTGAACTGTAGAGGAGTAGAAGTACACATAGTACCCTCTGGAAACTGTAGAGGAGTAAGAGATACACCATGTACCTCTGAAACTGTAGAGGAGAAAGAAGTACACCATGTCACCTCTGACTCTGTAGAGGAGTAAGAAGTATGAAGTAGCAAAACATATTAAATCCTCACAGTAAAGTACAAGGACCTCAATTTACTCAGTACAGAACATATAATAACATAATTATATATATTATCATTTATTTCAATTTAAATAAAGCAATAGTTAAATTCAGTTGATAACAATTTGGTTTAGATTATTCCCTGTTAAAAAAAAAGAGTACCGATAAGAATACCGTTAATGTCATTGTGTGGTGAGGAACCATATCCTTTGTGTGTCGACTTAACTTGCTCCTATGCAAGAATCAATAGCTACAATTACTGTTATTCACAAACTGAAGGGGTCCAGTTGTCCTCTCTCTCATGTCTTTAGTTCTCATGCTCTCAAAGCAGAAAATCTCCTGTTCAGTTCAAATTCAAATCTGATACACCTAGTGTACAGAACATGCTACGTGGTCAGTCCTCTGAAGTATATGATGACTAAAGACTGACTGTGTGTGTGTGTGTGTGGTGTGTGTGTGTGTGTGTGTGTGGTGTGTGTGTGTGTGTGTGTGTGTGGTGTGTGGTGTGTGTGTGTTGTGTGTGTGTGTGTGGTGTGTGTGTGTGTGTGTTGTTATCTGCATCTTATATTTTGAATCTTTCTTAACCTCAATCTATCTCCCGGATCTCTCGTGCCATCCAACACAGAATACGCAATAAAAAAAGTCTGACAGATGTTTAAAACGAAAGATCCCGCCCCTGCAGTAAAAGGATCAGGCCTGTAATCTTGGCTTAATGAGACAGTACTATTCAACAGTTGCCCCAAACAATTGATATTAGAATGTATTAATGTATACCTGAGTGTAGTCCAAATATCAGAATTTGGTTAACAGAGACATTCAAGGTGACACTGATAACAATAGGTGGGTGCCATTTGAACTGTTTTGAATATATTACCACAAGTTTTTGCAAACAATTTATCGGGCTGTTGTACAGATGAAACTGATGGCAACTGAGAAAAATGATAATGAAATGTACAGAGCGTTACTTGTTGAAACTTGAATTAAACTGCATAATGTTTATGATTGAGAGATTGTCGACATCCTATTGAACACTATTGGAAGCTATGTGCATACTAAAGTGAAAGTATAATGTCGTTTTTTTTCTGAATGGCGTAGAGACAGACCACAAAATGACATGATTTTTGTTAATGTATGGAATGATGTGTCAACACAGAAGTGAAATGACAGAAAAATGAAGCTGTTCCTCTCTTAAGTAGGTTGTGTTTTGATACAGAGACATAATATGAGGGAAACATTGAATGTGATGTAATTGTAAGTAAAGAACAGAAGATGCCAGCAAGTTGTACTTTTCCTCTATCGGAGACTTTCAGTACAGTAAGAGTCCAAATGTAGAATTTCATTATATTTAAATGATATCAGATTCTTATCTGAACAAGCCTTGTTTCCAGGTTTTGCATTACAAACGATTTAAATATGCTATCACCTGGAAGTTCACATGTCATTGTTCCTCTGTTATTCCAGCTCCATGATGCTCTCCACACGACGGGAAGCCCTTCAAACTCCTCTCAGAGCTCTCAGTCTTTTGGTTTCCTTATTCTACTAACACACCACTGTAGAGGTAATCAACACAAAATACAAGCTTTAAAAGTACATTTTATAAGGGAAGGAGGAAAGTATTCATGTTTGGCATAAACTCACATTTATTAATGTAATAATTTAACATTAGAATATAGATTTGAGACGTGTAGGCTCGGCCCTGATGCACTCCCCGCTAATATATATTTTTCATATAGAACATTGAGGAGTGATAATGAACTAAAGATCCCTCGACACTGCATGGAACAAGAGCCTTATGCTACATACTTTCTACTAACACGCATGTTATTAAAGAAGATCCAAATATGCCCTAATTCAAGTACAATTACTTGGTCTTTTGTTTATTTCAAACATGTTTAAATTGGAAGAGATTAAAATATACTTCCTTTATCTTCCCAGGTCAGTCTCAGCTGATTGGCTCATATCAGCCAATAGAAGCAAACCTTGGCGGTGACATCATTTTGCCGTTGTTATCTGGAGCCGGCGGTAAATGTTGCCGGTTTGACGTTGGAGTGGACGAGGCCCGACATGGACCCCAGGTTCGTCCATGTGATGCGGCTTGGTAACGAACTTGTGGAAATGAAACACCAGTTATTCAAGGGAAGAACATCAATGTTCACCGATGAGCTGAAGAACGGAAACATTTCTCTGAAACTCTCCAACGTACAACTCTCCGATCAGGGGAAATACAGATGTTTCATTCCAAAACTGGACCGGCAAGCTTTTGTTCAACTAGTTTTTGGTAAGTGAGCAATGTATGTGTTCATGATGCATGTTTAGCCAAGTCCTTACTTTTACCTCTAGGAAAGGTTTTTAGTCTTATTCTTTTCCCTCTAGAGTTCATAGACGAGAGTATCGGACTGCAGTTGAAGTTATATCGGAAGCCAAATGGGACATACTCTTTTCTCTACTTTATAACATTCTACTTATCTCAGAGTTTCAGGAGAGTGTAATTGTAATTGCTTGGTTTGCAATGTAGGAGTTTCCTGTGTAGCACATGTTCTTACTAGAGTTTGAAGACGAGAGCATTGCAGTAGGAGGCGTATGGAAAGCCAAAAGTGACATTAGTTTTCCCTTCATTACAATGTATTTTTTTCTCAAGCAGGGTATTAAGCCATAACACTGGAAAACTACTACATTTGATGATGAATACTCACAAAACTGTGCTTTTAGAACTTGTAACTTGAGCAGCAATCTAATGCAAATCCTTTATCAAAAGCCACTCACAATAGGTGTAATCCTGCAAGTGCATTAGTTCTTTATTTGTAGTTTGATCACTGAAAACAATATACGAATTATAACAACAGCTCCAGAGTTACTATTTCTTTAGATAAGGTGTTTGGGGCAGAGTATAAACTTCAGTTTTGTCTGTGTGGTCATCCAAGTTTTCATGTCCGTAAGGCATCTGGCCTGATCAATAGAATTATAATCCGCATTGATAATGGATATTAAGTTTTCAGTCTGCAACAGGAGATGTGTAGACTTTCTGCTGTCCTGATATCAATGGAGAGCTTGTTCAACCATTTTGCAGCCAGGTTAGCAAACATATGTTTTTATTGAGGGGTACCTGGGTCCCACTCGCAGTGTGGGAGTAGCAAGCCTATTGGTAGACTCTTACGTGAATATGTGGGCAGAAATAAAATTTATTAACTCAAGAATTCTAACACTTCCTGCTTTGTTTTCAGCATCCGGTCCTTCCTCTCCGCCTGTCATCAGTTTATCAGGGCTGGACGGTCAGAGTGGAGGAGTGGTGCTGCAGTGTGAGTCT